TTTCAGATAGACCTTTTTTAAGTAAGTATTTCTGGAATTTTCCGCGTGATGTGACAAATTGAGAGACTATAAAATTTAGATAGAACTGTGTGGGAATTCGTTTGGAAAAATAGTGCGGATTGTATAAATAGCCTTATAAATGGATTGATAGAAATGATTCAAAATAATAGATTTTTCTGCGCCAATTATAGTTGTATGTATTTCTCTTAGTAATTTTTTTGTTTTTTTCGGTTCGTATTTTATTGATTAATAATTGAGATAGTCTTTTCTGAAAGGTGTTGTAATAAAGTTATTTTGTACTGCCTTTATTAGAATGAGAAAACTATCGGCAGAGAATAGATTATCAGCGATGAACCCTGTCAGAGGTTTCTCCTATTATTCTATTAGACCATTCTAATACTGTATTGAGTTGTTTTCTTTATATATACATATATTTATTTATCGATCTCATGTGTATATTAAACAAATAATTGACGTAGTTGGAGTAATATTATTACACACTTATATAAAAGTGCATTTTAATAAATTCATAAAAATACTTATTAAAATATTTTGTCTTTTCAAAAATAGTGTAAAATTGATGACAAGGCCAAGATTCCATAATAAAGTTGGGGAAAGAGGGGTGGACTCTAGCTGCCATGCGTGAGGCACCAAAAACGGCATTCCAGTGTGAGGGGAGGACAACAGGCAGTCTGGTCACATCTGCGGCAAGTAGAAGACGGTGGGGGGGAGTTGTCTCCGGGGAGTGTGGATGATCCTACAAGACGGTGCCAGGAGAGCCTGACATCGGAGCGGCCTACAAGCAGTGTAGTCCAGGCTGGATTTGTTCAGTGTGGAGCGGAAGGTTTCACAAGAGTGACATCCACGGTGCCAAGGATTTTCCTGACGGGGAAGTTGAAGGCAAGTCCCACTTATTGTATTCCTTCTGATCAGTACGGCGTATAATAAAGCGATAACTTTTGCTGCATCCTTACGAACCCACGTATGTATCTTTGTGTCATCCTGATTAGACAAAGAACACGAACAGCGTCTGGGTACGACGTAACAATAGATTTCAGATATAGGTCCCAGTATGTACTATTTTAAAATAAATGGAGTCAACTGTGGACCCAATTCGGTTTGATACTTCATTAGGTCTGTTTTGTTTGTCGGTTGGAATGCTAAATTCGCCACAATGTTCTCACTGTGTGTGTATGAATACATATATATTTGAATATATTTACCTATAAAAGTTGATGGAGAAGAATTTCAAATTTCCTTGGAGATTTTAAATTAAAAACAGAAATATAAAACAATAATATAGAAAAAGGAAGATGATAAATTAAATATAACTTTGAGGAAAACGTCCTTAATATATTCTTTAGGACAGATTTAAATGTTATGTGATACAATCAAACCTGTCTAGGCACTGCCCTGACTACCAATGTGTATTTTAAAATTTGCAACAAATAGTCTTTTTTTAACACAAATGTAAATTAAGAAAAAAAGCTTATCCTGCAATCCACAAGACTAATCGTGCAATTGATTGCTGCTGGTGGATTTGACCCCTCCCCCCTACCCCCCAAATATCGGAATAAATATGAACAAATAGTTAATTTTTAAAATTATTTTATATAAAAATGGCCCCAATAGCTATTCTTAATTAATCAATAAAAGCCGACAACATAAGCAAGCCACCAGGAACTTCAATTGAACGACCAGAAGATGCTTTATTTATATTAATTCATGTCAACCTGATCACTCAATACATTTCGTACTATTTTTTGACAAATGGAAATGTTTTATGACCAGAAACATATTTTGTATTTGAGACGTTATTTTTTATAGCTATGAATCGTTTTCTTCATAAAAGGAGGACCGTATTTGTGGAAGAGAGAAATTTAGTTTAACCTAAATAGTGTATTTTGTAATTAAAGTATATGTTCTACGGATTCCCATAAGTTTAAAATGATGGAGTGGGTTCAATACCAGTGTATAGAGAGTGTATTGATATTACTCAAATACAATAATATATTTATGATAATTGCACTAAAATTATTGAAAAGAGATCAAAACCTTTCGCTGAAGGTTTCTTCATTCTAATGAGTTTCGATCTGACGTTATTCACTCCGAAATTTGGCTCGTTGAAGATGAAAGCTCTAAATCTCTCTGGGATGTTCCGAATAAAGAAATCTGTTCAGAAATGATTTGATCTCTTTCTTTTAAAAGAACAATTGATATAATGAGAGACAAGCAGTACTAATACATACACTAGACTCCCCTAAGGAACATGTCACATGTGTGGACAGGACATCACGTGTCACCTACCTGAAGAAGACGTGACCAACCTCGGAGCGTCCCACCGCTAGCTGCGCTGATTCCTACGCACTGGAGTTCTCCTGCGCATCTGGTCACATTGCGGCGTCGCTGGTGTTGGCACGTTTATAATGAAGTGATGTTTTCCCGGCATAGATACGTTAGGCTGTAATGTCTTCGCCATCGGAGAATTTGGTCTGAAATAGCTAATTAGGACTAATGTGGAATTGGAAAACACGTATTACGGTTCTTGGTTGAAGTTATTTTGTATTTTACACACTACAGTAAAAATTACTGAATTACTGCAAAAATATTGAACGGAAAATTTGTAAATCAGCTTGTGCCGCTCTGAATATTGAGTCTGGAACACTCGTGCTGGATGCGCACTTCAGATCCTCTTACTTTGCATAAATCTTCCACCCAATTTCAATCATTTTCATGTTTGGTCTAAACGTCTTTACATATGTATTTCCATAAAAATTGAACAAATCCTTCTTGTTGCGAGGATTTTTTTTTACATAGAGTGTATTGAGGAGAGAGATATAAATTAAAACTTTGCGCCGTACCTCTATTTATATATATCTGATTTTAAAAATAATACTTACATTTATATTACAATCAGTTGAACTGCCTTTTAACGACCAAACCGGTTTAGCGACCATTCTCCAAATGTATTAAGTCCTCCTCAAATGTAGAATAATGTCATATATTAGCGAAAAACGCCTCAAATTTGACAATGGACCGTTAAAATTATATCCTTAAAGCTTTTATTTAACTTGCTTCTATATATTTGTTTTCTTAAATATTGTGATCAATTTTCAACTCAGTCCAATAAACAATGCAAGTGTACAAATTTCCAGACTTCTGGGTGGTCGGAGTGGCAAGGAATAAACAAATTTCTATATTTATTTTTAAGTCGTATTTTACGTCTCTTACAAGGAATTGACCAATCCGTCGCGAGCAGGCTTCCGTCTATTTAAGGCCTAGTCCCCAGTGAAATTTTGATTCTAAGTTTTGTAAATTTATGACTAAAAACTAACTGAATAATTAATAAATAAATGCTTCATTTTTAAAAAGAGATCTTATTTAAATGCACTAAAAAGAACAAATAAAATATTGTATCTTCTGTCATTGAACAATTAGATGTATCTGAGTGCAAATAAACGCGGCGGGAGACGATCATATTTAGAGAAAAGGTAAAAATCGCCTAACAGTTGCTACATATTAAATCACATTAAGTTCGAATCATGATTATTGTCCGCTGCCGCTACGGGGAAGAAGTTTCCTGTACTCTAGTAGGTGGTTCCGTCTCTAGAGTGGGTGGAGAGGCGTCTCTACGTGTTGTCCTCCGTAGGGGTGCCACTGACTGATGTCCAGTGAAGCTGTAAGCTGGCCGTCTGTCCTTGGTCGTCTGAGGCGGCGCACGTGTCTTGAAACTCTTGGGTCTTCGCTCTGTGTGTGCGCCATTGGGAGCGTCGCAGCCGTACGCGAAATTGCACCGGGGACGCCTGGTGTTGAAAAACCAAGGGGTGCACACAGTAGTAACACCCCCCCGCCTTCTCGTTGGTTCCTCGTGAAAACCTCGTGCCTCAGAGGTCCCTGACTCGTCGGCGGATTCAGGGAGTACTGGATAAGGGTACGAGGGCTAAAGGGGGGGGAGTCCTATGGGAGCGTAGGACGGGTCTTTCTAAGTCCGAACGAGAGGGCTCGGTCAGCAACCTTGCCAATGAACTCTCGGTGACGCCTGTGGGTGAATGGTCAACCCCATGGAGCCAGACCATAATGGCGGGCGCGAGGGGCCTACCAATGGCCGCTCGGTGCATGGAGAATGCATCATTCCTTCTGGCTGTGTGTGGATCTAGATTTCAGCAAAAAGCAGTGGACGCAAGGGCCGCATTGAGCCCATATCGTCCCTGGCCCTGCTTCGCAGGGCCGAATTTCCTATCTGTCCGCTGCCGCTTTTATTTTCACTCAGATACGTCTAATAGCTCAATGACAGAATATTAAATATTTTATTTTTCCTTTTTAGTGCATTTAAATAAAAGTTTTTTTTTTAAATATATTTTAATTTATTAATTATTTAAAATATGACCTTCTGATCGTCGAAATATTAGGCAAAAAATAAAAAATAAAAACTGTTCGTTTTAGGATGTGTCGTTTTTTTATTGAAATAGTATCTTATAACTTATTTATGCTCCTAAACTTTAAATCTAATCCAACTATTCATTTATTATATGAAAAAATATCTTTAAAAAATTGAAATTGTATTAGGATCATAGGTTGATAAATTCGAAATACTAAGAAATAATTGCGCGATAAGGAGATATTATTTTATCTATTATGTGTATTTTAGACAATTAAATTGTGTTGGAAGGCTGGTTAAACCGTTTGGTTTTCGACCACTACGACCCGGGTTCGATTCCCGCATTAGATACTTTTTTCTGTAAAAAAAAAAAATGCTCCAATGGCCCCCGATTCTTGCAAAAGTCCAACCCCACCAACGAGTGCAAGTAACCAAACGGGGCTCTGGCACATTTGTAAGTGCAAAGTCGAACTGCTTTTCACATGTGTAGACATGTGGTGCGCTTACAGTAAAAAGCAGTCGCTAACCACCCACCATTATTATCATGGTCTGTGCCACGTTTACTAGGAATATGCAAAAAAAAAAAAAAAGTGTTTTCAGACAATAAAATTAAAAAAAAAAGTGCATCGGCCGGGAATCGAACTCGGGCCGGCCGCATAGCAGGCGAGCATTTTACCACTGAACCACCGATGCTTGTTATACTTTCAAAATAGGCTTTTAAGTATGCCACATCTTGAGTGGCTACAGTAAACGTCGGCTATCCATTCTATAGATAGCGTTGCCAATAAGCTGGATTTGCTCCTTTCTCTCGTTTTAATATATATTTTAACCTTAATATTCCCTATTAACATTTCTAAAATAATAATTTAATAAACGGTATCAAATCTATTAAATTAAATCTAGATTTAACGCGTTTCTTGTACGTTTATAGACCAAACTGCAATAAGAAAAATAGCTGAGAGCTTCACTTATCAATGGTGATCTTTCTAATCAGTTTTCCAAATTATTCACCAGACAGCTCGAGAATTGTAAAATTTACTACCTTATATAGTATGAAATTTCTCTGACGATAGCATTACTTCGAGTGCCACTTGAAACCGGTTCTATCTCTGGAAATAGATTTTAAAAACAGATATACATAGTGTGTTCAATAATTTCCAGGAATGCTAAATATTTAAAAGAATACAAAAGTATAATAAAGTTTTATTTAAAATTTCTCAAAATAATGACAGTCACTATCTATATACTTGTTCCATCTTTTTTTCCAGATATCAAAACACCTCTGAAAATCCTCATCTTTCAAGCTTTTCAAAATATTCTTCGAATTCTACTTTATTTCAGGTATTGAGTCAAATCGAGGTCCTTTTAAGACTCTTTTAAATTTAGGGTAAAGGAAAAAGTCGTTGGGAGCAAGGTCAGGATAATAGGGTGGCTGGGGTAGTAAAGTTGTTTAGCCAAATAGAGTTGTACAGTGACTGCTGTATGTGGCCGTGCGTTGTCATGATGCAAGATCCAATTTTTCTGATGCCATTTTTCGGGTCTTTTCTGACGCACAGGCTCTCTTAAACGTCGCAATACATCAATATAGTAATGTTGATTAATGGTCTGACACTCGGGCACGAATTCATAGTGTACCAATTCCTTTACATCAAATAAAGTGATAAGAAGACACTTAAGCTTCGATTTGAACATCCTTTCTTTCTCTTGCCTATTCGACCAGCTTTTAATCGTGCAAACCATTCAAATGTCCTCGATCGTGATAGGGCATCTTCTTTAAAAGCCTGCTTCAAGATTTTAAATGATTCGGAAGCCGTTTTCCCTAATTTAAAGCAAAAGCCTATGCAGACTCGCTGTTTTTCAATACAGTCCATACTGAAATTCGAAAATGTTCTGGTATACTCGAGCTTATAAATTCGATGAAACGTGAGCGCGTGCGTCTATGTGATCAATTTTTATATCTACAACAAAGTTTGGAGCGGGACGTTTCACAAGAGTGACATCCACGGCGCTAATTTATAATTGTAACGAATAGTATTTGAATAAAACATTTAATCGGGTAAAACCCGGGCGTTGCCCGGGTCATTCGGCTAGTATTCTATATTCATGTATTTGGGTCCGAATTCTCAGGTCCTTGGAGATTTTGTTCTTGAGAAGGCTTTTTCTGGTTTGTTTGATATTCAAGTTGGGGTTTTTCCCACTTTTCGCCATTTTGGCATAGTTGACTAATTTGTTTCAGTTTTAAATTTATTTCCTTGTTCCGCATTTGTAGTTTGTGGCTTCCTTGAGAGTAGGATTTTCAAATTTTTCTGATTTTTCGTAGAACTTTAATGATTGTTTAATTATGTATTCATTGATATTTTCAATATTGATATCGTTCCTGAGGATCGTGTTTCGAATGAACCAGGGTGGGAACGTTAATTTTTATGATAATTTTATTTTCAAAAACATATAAATCTTTAAGGGTGCTCTAATTTGCTGTCATCAAAATTGGGTGGCCATAAATCAGTGTTGGTCTAATTATTGATGTGTAGATGGTTATTTTGAACTGCAGGATTCGAATATATATTAGTTTAAAATATCGCAAATAAAATGAAGAAACAGATGAGAATGGTACTCATCAATGATCAGTGAACATTTGTGATTTCTGAAATATTCTCGCTATTAAAAATATCATGCGCCAAGTGTCAATTAGAAACTGGAAAAATATATGTGAAAAATATTATATACAGTTCTATCTGTTTATTGCGCCCCCTCTAAATAGCGCCTTCCTCTCTATAGCGCCCGATTTTAAACCATAAAATGTAAACATTTTACATTAAAAGTGACCTGTTTATAGCACCTTATTCGGGTGAGTCCCAAGAGGGGGCGCTATAGACAGGTTTAAATATATATAAATAACAATTTCTTGCCATTTTAAAAGTTATTTATTTTATTTTATTTTTATATATAAAGGACGAACGTTCTGATCTCTCGTCTAAATATCATGCAAAAAAAAAAACAGCTTATTTTTCGATGTGCCGTTTTTTTTTCATAGTTGAAATGAAATTTATATGAAGTTTCATATGAAAAAATGGTAAAATAATTGAAATTGTACCGGGATCAGGTTGATTTATTACGAAATATTAGGAAATATTCTCACGATCAGAAGTTATTTCTTCTATTGAATATTAAGACAATAAAAAAAGGTGCATCGGCCGGGAATCGAACTGGGCCGCCCGCGTGGCAGGCGAGCATTCTACCACTGAACCACCGATGCTTGCAAAATGTCTTACAAAAATTTTCAAATTATAAACACAAGCTTATATAATTTTAATTGATATATTGAAAATCATTAACATATTTTTGAATTTACTTTTTTTTCTTCTAAAATATATATAATTTAACGACAGTTAAACCTGTCTATAGCGCCCCCTCTAAATAGCGACTCCCTCTCTATAGCGCCCGATTTTAAATACGTAGTAAGATGCGATTTACATTAAAAGTGACCTGTATATAGCACCCATGTATATAATGCATATATATATTTTAATATCTTTTTTTAAATAGTGCAGGCTGTGCACTTTGCATGTATTGACAAGATGTCAATTAAATTATTTTGTCTAAAAAAAAATTGTCTATAGCACCCTATTTTGATGAGTCCCAAGAGGGGGCGATAAAGACAGGTTTAACTGTATATTTATACAGCCCTTATCCTGCAATGAATACAAATTGGAAGTGGGATGGTATGGCTACTCAGTGGTGAACTCCTTCAATTTTTAATCATTGCGGAATTAAAGAGCTATAGAAATTTTTGAATATATTTTCTAGGAAAAAGTAGCGTTAAAAATATATATACATAGATAATTTTCAGCAATAGATGGCGCAAATGAGACAACTATAAAAATGCTGAAAAAAAAGGAAAGCGAAATGGCAAATGGTGTATAGATTTAGAAGGGGATTAATTTGAAGATAAATAAATTTTCTCTTTGATCTGATATTATTTAAAAAAATTAGCGGAATTAAATCAAAAAGTATCTTATATATTAGAAATTGATCATAAGGTTAAGAAATCGGTGAACGAGTGGTTGAAACCCTTGATTCCCGACAGCCATGAACCGGGTTCGAATCCCGCATTGGACACTTTGTTTCAATATATGAATAACCTTCACATATTATTCATTGTTGTAAATATTATAAGCTAGGTTTCTCTTTTTGAGCGGCACCCAGTAAGGTTAATTTGGAACCAGGATCATAAGGTTTGAAAAGAAATTGAGAAAATTGGCTCATTACCAACCTACCAGACAAGTTATAAGTCTGATATCTTGAAAACTTGTATTTCTAGATGAATTGACCATATATACAAAATTTCATACATCTATGTCATCTTAAGTGTATTAAAAATGATGCATAAAATTTAGAAGAAAATATAAAGGACTTTGGATGCGTATTGATTAAATGGAAAAGAAACCTTCTGAATAATTCAAAAGAAAATATTTTATAATTTTTATATGGTTAGGTTTTATAATTATATAAAATATCATGAAATATTAAAGGATTTGATCACAATTGGTATGCTTTCTAATTATCTCTAGTTCTCCTTGACAAATGATAAATTCACGGGTTTATACACATAAGTATTAGGCCTAAAGTAAAAGTAACACACAGAAAAACGCACACTCAAGAGTGTACGCCTCTGAACTAGGCCGTAGAAACTGATGGGCTGTGGAGTGCCGTTCTTCAGCTGTGATAACATCCCGCCACATCCTATGTTGCTGGCATCAGTGAATATTTGAAACTTTTCCTCTAGTCAGGATGAATGTGAGGATGGGTGCACAGAGATAAGACTTTAACTTGTCATACGCACGCTGCGCTGCCTCGTTCCACTCATACCTGGGGCCCTTCCTAGTCAACTCATATAAAGGGGCCGCTATTTCAGAGAAACCAGCAATGAATTTCTCATAAAAACCAACAGTTCCAAGAAAGCGTCTAACGCCAGATACAGTTTTAGAAGGACTCATATCTTTAATATTTTCGATTTTTGCCATTAATTCATGGTATCCCGCTATAATAAAAAGAATGGATTTAGACAATGTTCGCGGCTATTTAATTCAAATTATCCAATCATATCTGAATAATAAAAGGACAGTTTATCTGTCATACAGTGACAAAACTGCTTCAAAAAACCTTACTAAGGGATCTCCTCAGGGTAGTCCACTATCACCGTTATTATGGAACATCTTGCTGAACGATATTTTAATGAATTTTAAATCAACAAATACTGAGGTTATTTGCTACGCGGACGACATCTCTATTAATTGTTGACATTATAATTTAGAAAGTCTAAAAATTGAGTTAGTAAACACCCTAAACTATTTCCCTCAATGGTGTCATTCAAACAAGTTAAAAATAAATCCAGAAAATACGAACTTGATTCACTTTCACAATTTTCAAAAGTTTCAGTTGGAGTTTCAAAGAACCTTCATAAAACCTGCAAATGAAATAAAATTTTAGGAATTAAATTATCAAATCATAGGTTCAAAACAAAAAAAATTTCACCCCGCATTATAATAAAATTTTTCATAAAGCGCATCGCATGAAGAATCATCTTTTTTCCCTCAGCGTCAAAATATGGAGTATAAACTCTATTAAAAAATTATTTTGTATAAGACTAATTAAACCTATTCTGACAATTGGACCTGAAATTAGGTTCTACC